AGTTCCAAATTTGAGATTCGAGACGAAAGTGCCCTCAAATCTCAAAATCCGCAGTGAGGTTGTTTAGTGACTTGAGTTACTCATAGTCATCAAGGTCGATTTGTCCCTTGAGTGGTGGGTGACTCAAAGCAGTGTCAAAGTCAAATGGCAAGTGGCCGTAAAGGGCAGATATGACTAAGTTCCAGAAGTGTCGAGTCAAATCTCGGCTGAAAGCTCTCAACTCGACTCTTCTCGGCTCAAAGCTCTCAACTCGACTCTTGTTTTAGCTAGCTCACGACGGTAAGGTTAAAAGGTTGCTCAAACAGTTTGAATAGACATTTCTCTTTTGGGGATAACTCTTTAATCTACTTCGTGCATGTAGATGACAACAATAGGGATGATACGTGAAAAGCAAAGAAACTTTTTGTTTTGAACTAATGGTGACGCGGAGATGACATCAAAGGATAACAGGTGAAACAAGTTTTTGGTGAGTTGTTTATTTTACTTAGATGACATCGATGTAGAATCAACAGAGAGGAACAATCAAAGTTAAACATAATTTGATACGATCAAAGTGAAGACACGTTAGAGAGACTTGAGATGATGGTTGTATTTTGGGATTGCCTTGAAGAGATCCTCTGCTTGTGCAAAGGGGATGCCCATCTTGTGGAAGGTTTCGATAGTGTAAGTTGAACGGTCCAACAATCGGAGGAAATCCTTGATACCTTCTTTAGCCAAACATTCGCGAGTAGTGACCATGTCTAGACCAATACCTGCAAACCCGAGGAACTGCTCGAACTCGATGACAGTGTCTCGAGGTGGAGGAGATAAGCGCAGGGACTGAGCTGGCATCGGCGCACCATGGATAGCAGGTACCCCAAAGGCCAGAGCTGGGTTAGGGTGCGCGGGGTGACCGAAGTAGTTGTGATGAACAACAGGAGGGGCAGTTGGGCTACCAGTTGAGACCCTGGCGGGGGTCAAACCTAGGAGGGCGTTCTTCTCGCGCTCGTAGTCGCTGACGGGAATCCAGCGAAAGCCAGGTCGCTTCATTGGTGGATTCACCTCATCGACACCACGGACTCCATCCGCCTGCAAAGGATTAAAACCGAAAGAGTCAGTAGAAAGTAGAGTTAAGCGAAGAGACTAAAGAAAAAAACCTACCCAGTCATTTGCCCAGGTGCGAATGCGGGAGGTGTTGAGGAGCAAACATTCCCCAGAGTTTTTCGGGTTGGGGACCAAGGTGACATTTTCCCCACGTTTGAAGTCCTTTTCAAACCGTTGCATCAAGGTTCGCAGATTGCGTTCTCCTGCGCTGAGAATGGCGGACTGACCAAAAGAAGGGTTAGTTAACCCGAAAGATGATGAAGAGATAAAACACAAAGCAAGCGAAAGAAAAAGACCTACTCCATCAGAGGCCACTGTTTCCTCACCATCCGAGCCTTCGGTTTCGGGTTCGGGTTCAGCAGTAGAGACTTGGTGGGCAAGTGAACGAAGAGCGGTCTCGGTCTTCAAGGGGTTTTCATGAACAATTCGAAAGCCCATCTTTGAAGAGGCAGGTGCAGCCTTGCAAGCCTCGAGGAAATGTTTGAAGGAGTGGTCGAGAAAGCTGGGCGTTTTAATGGGCTCTTTATCTCTACCTTTGTAACCCTTAGAACCGTTGATATAACCCATAATCAAAAGGCCACCTTGAACCCAGGACCGGTGGAGGACCTGGTCCACACCAGGTAGGTGCTCGTTGCAAGATTTGAATAGCTGAGATTTGAACAAGCCAAAGTCCATGTCATCCGGTTTAAAGGTTATATACGTAGGTACCTTTGGAGCATAGTTGTTGTACTTGGCCTTGGTTGATTTACGTTGACTTGGACGAGAGCCACCGGGGGTACGCTTGTGCTTCTTCGGTTCGGGTTCGGCAGGGCACTCAGGTTGCCAAAGATTGAAATGCACCGAATATTTTCGTGCTTCTTTGGGCCACTCGGCGTGAGCGGGACTGGTCTGAGTCGGAGCCTGTGATGTATTGGAAATTTGAGCTGGAACATGAAGTGAAACAGGGCGACCTAATTAAGCAAAGGTCAGATGATGAAATGGTGCCGAACAAAGTCGATTTGAAGACTGACCTTTGACGTATTCATCTTCAAATCGCGGTGGAAGCTCTAAAGACAAAAGAAGACAAAATGAGCTGATGTTATGTGTAACAGAAAGAGGAAAATTATGAATGACTCACCATCGTCGTTGTCATCTTTTAAATAGAGGTCCAAAGATCAACATTGTCAGCTAAAGGCTTGACAGGCATAATTCATTGAATCAAGGAAATCCTTACCGTGATTGATGTTCAGGTTCAAGACAGGGGAATTGGGAACGGGGGCCGGTCTTTTCATAGGGGAGCTCCCGATACCGTCTGAGGTTGTTGCAGATGATAAGTTGCTGATTGAGTTGGAGTTTGAAGAACCGGCAGATAGGAAAGGGCTGATGTGAGGGTTGACTCCAGTGATCGAAGTATTTGGGGTGCTGACACAACGGGCATAGGGGGTTGGGCTACGAGCAAAGTTGAAGTGCGTGCTGAAAGACGGCCTACACAAAGACAAAGAAACAACCATCAGAAGAAGCGGTCAATGACCATAAGGAAGGGTAAGCACTCACATGTTTCTCCCCAAAGTTTGATCGAGGTATGCCTGGAGACTGCGAGTACGGATTGGGCGGCTTGCCAAGGTCCGGCTCATGGTGTCAATTTGACCATCGGTTGGCTTACTTTATCATGTATCAATAGTTAAGAGAACAATGATCAGAGAGAAGTTAAATTGTCAAGCATAGAGAAAAGGAAGGTCTAACGAGAGTTTTCTGGGTGGCATTGTGTCGTTTGGAAAAAAGTGACGGAAGATCAAATTTTTTGGGAATTTGGGGCGATTGTTGGGGTCACTTGAGTGAGAGAGCAGCCTTTTATGGTGTTTCGCAACCCGGTGGCGGTCAAGTTGTGGTTGAAGAAAACGAGGACCATCAGATGCACCAGGATTGACGAGCGGAGTGTGAACCGTGATGTGGACTCGAGGCGTTAACAAGTGGGTTTGGACGCACACCATTGTGTTGGTAGGTGGAGCCAAAGTGAGGTAAGGCTCCACCACCGGTGGTTGATTCGAGTCGATTGGTGGAATTGATGACCAATCTGGAGGGTCGCCGTCCGGCTTTTGGAAGCTGATGTGGACACGAGGTGTTGAAAAGTCGATTTGGGGCATCCTGTCGTTGTTTGGTTCCGTAGAAAAGGGAGCTAAGGGTACGGCCTCACTGCCGGTGGTAGAGTCGTGTGGAAAGGAGTTGTTTGATGAGGGGATGATGGCCAAGGCCTGAGTTGATCTGGTGGGTTATTGAATGGTGGAACCAAACAATAACCCGCCTCTTAAATCGGATCTAGGGTAGACGCTCCCGAGTGGACACACCCGGTCCCTCTACACCGCGGTATACAGGCCTGTATTTACGTGGCTTGCGAGGAAAACCAAAAATAAAAAATCGCCCCATGACATTATTTTTGAAAACAGCTGTATCATCAAAATCAATATCGATTTGGATTTATCCATTGATCCTTACGAATTCTTTGCTTATCAAACAGAAAGCTAGTAAATATATATACTTCGGGAAAGGGTTTGATTGAAATGATAGGTATATACTCAGGATGTACCTCAGACTCAGAGAGTGACGATGTTCTTTAAACATGCATGTCTCCTGACTGGGAATCGGATGAAGTAGAGAGAAACAGTGTTTTATGAACAGTAGTTCAGTAGAAATGCAGTTAAGAGTGGTAATTGAAGTTTGGTCTCGATCAAATGAGCAAACCAAACCAAACCACATCCAATCCATTTCCAATCGATTCTCAACCATCAAATACGCAAACTATCAAACCGAAGAACCAATCATCAATCTCAAACCATGCCAGCTTCTTCAAGACCTTATGATCCAAACCTCAAGACTGCATATAAATCAGATCCATCTTTACTTTCGGTCAACTTCAATCAAGATTATACTTGTATAAGTGTAGGAACTAGATCTGGTTATGCTATACATAATTGTGATCCGTTTGGAAGAGTTTATGCAAAGGGTAAGTCTTGATAAACCATAAATTCATCTTATTGATCTATATCATAAATTGATTAGAATGTTTTCTTGAACTTTTTTTGGCAAATCGGTCTACAACCCTCAATAAAACAACCAATGTGATGTTCATCGATGAATTAATGAATCTCAGGTGATTCTGCTATTGGAATTGTAGAAATGTTATTTTGTACTTCATTAGTAGCATTAGTAGGTACAGGTGATCGACCTTCACCAAGTACTAGGAAATTACAAATTGTCAATACCAAGGTAAAACAAAACAAAACAACTAATCATTCACTCTTCTTTATCAAATTTGAATTAGATTCTAACTTTGTTTTTTTTTTGGGGGATTTGATCCTTTTCAATAGAGACAATCAACAATTTGTGAACTTACTTTTCCTACATCTGTTTTAGCTGTTAAACTTAATCGAAGAAGACTGGTGGTAGTCTTAGAAGAACAGATTTATCTTTATGATATAAGTAATATGAAATTACTTCAAACACTTGAAACTAGTTCGAATCCTAGTGGTAAGTTTCAATTCTGACCTTTGAAATCAATTCCAAGTGACTTACTATAGATCTTGATTTCAATCTTTTCAAAACGTTTGCTGACTTGATCATTCGGATTAGGTATATGCGCTCTTGCACCATCTTCAGAAAACTGTTATCTTGCTTTTCCTTCCCCTCTTCCATCACCTTCTGCTCCATTCTCTAATGCGCCACCTACGCCGACCTCTTCATCTTCAGTCAGTACAGGAGATGTTTATCTATACGATGCAATGTCTTCATCAGTCACCAATGTGATTCAAGCTCATAAAGCACCTTTAGCTCTGATCTCATTCAATTCGACGGGTACTTTGATGGCCACAGCATCTGACAAGGG